CTTTCTGATCTATGAAAGCAGATTCAAGGGTTCCAACGAAAGGAACAAAATTTTCTCCCCAAACAACATCACATTAGCTTAGAAAAAGAAGGTTGTTCTTCCTTTCACTGAAGAGAAAAAGATATGAAAACAGAAACAGAAGTGTAAGCACACATGGTCCATAAAATCCGGCCACCACCACCACAGCACACGTTCTAAGTCAAGCTTTCAGTGCTTTCTCTCCACCAACCTCGCTTTACTGCTGTTACACTTGATTTCGCCTCCACTAAGGTGTTGGGAATTTGGGAAGAAACAGTGTGATTTTCCCCAAGGTCCAGCCCCCTCAAAGATGATTCTGGGCTCATTCATTTGGTTCGGGTATTTGGGGTGAAATCATTTTAACACATCTCTATGGTTTCATGTGAAACATGGGCTCCTCCCCCGTCCTTTCCCCGATGTCTGCTTTGAGGAAAACCCAAACATTGCTTTTAAACACTGCAAGGCCCTGAAACGGACAGTTTTCATAGATCCAACAAATTCTTGACTTGAAAAAGGCCCAAGGGAATGCTGCACCGTTTCAAAGCACACGGCGCCTGGACCGTGACCAGGCCTCTCCCTCCAGCAAGTGGTTTTTCCAAGCACCTTGAATGCATGCGTTTAACAGAAATTATTTGGTTCTTAATAAAGTACTGGCACATTTATATTTCCATGGCACGTTTTTGCCTTTATAAAGGATTTTAATAACTTTTTCTCTGATACGAGTCTTGAGAACCTTTGGGTGTGCGAGGCTGGCATGCGCCTGTGACACGCTAGATGTCCAAAGTTAAGAGCTATTGGAAATTTTTATTTAATTCCTTCTTCTGTTTGAGTGTACTTAATGCCATTAATGTTCTGTCTGGCAGCAGAAAAGGGGATAAAAGTGGCCACTTAAGGAAAGCAATTTGGCCGTTTGTGACAACAGCTGCCTGATACTGCCTTTTATTTAATTGGAAAAGGATGCAGGAAGTCTGTGGAGCATTAAAGAAACAGAGTTTGGAGATCATAAGAATTTTCTCCTCTATTTTCTTCTAATAAAATTACCATTATTAAGTAATTTATTGAGTGTCAACAACGTACTAGACACTTTTTAAATTATTTGAAATGGACTGATTAAGAAAGAAAATCATTTATATCCTTTTGGGATAAAAAAAGAAAGACTCTTGGTGGACCTTCCAGAGCATGTGTTCAGCTGACAGGGTGACACTGTCATTAAGACCATCCCCCAACAGCCAAGCAGTCAAAGCCAAGACCGTGAGCAGGCACACAAGGCCGTGCCTCCCCCTCTGACCCCAGCTGGCTCCAAACACTCCTTCACCATTTGGTCTTCCAACCACAGCCAACTGTCTGAAGCTCCCTAGGGCTCAGTACCTGCTCATTTCCCCAGTCTTGGCAACCACCCTTCTCCCTGTTTGGCACACTCTTCCCAACTGCTCTGCCTAGGGGACGTCTTATCCTCTAAAATGCAAGCATCAGATCCAGCAATTCCATTCCTGAGTATATACCCAAAAGAACTGAAAGTAGGGACTGCAGAGATATATGTATACCCACGTTCACAGCAGCACTATTCACAGTCGCCAAAATGTGGAAGCAACCCAAGTGTCCACCAACAGATGAATGGATTAACAAAAGGTGATATATACCTGCAATGGAAGATTATTCAGCCTTAAAAAGGAAGGAAATTCTGACATGTGCTGCAACACAGATAAACCTTGAAGACATTATGCTAAGTAAAATAAGCCAGTCACAAAAAAGACAAATACTGTATGATTCCACTTATGTGAGGTACCTAGAATAGCAAATTCATAGAGACAGAAAGTAGAGTGGTGGTTGCCAGGGGCTGGACAGAGGAGGGAATGGGGAGTTCTTGTTTAACGGGCACAGAGGTTCAGTGTTGTGAGAGGAAGAGTTCCATGGATGGATGGTGGTGATGGTAGCACAACAAAGTCAATGTACTTGGGGCCGCTCTACACTTAAAAATGGTTACAGTGGCAAATTGCATGTTGTGTATTTTACCACAGTTTTGTTAAAAATTTAAAAATTAGAAAATAAGTAATAAAAATTTTAAAATCTCAAGTATTAACATCTCTGTGAGAACTTTCCTTACATCCCAGCACCAACAGAATGAATCATCTTCCTCTGAGCTCCTACTGTACCTTGTACCCAGTTGAAATTATTTGTCTCGATACCATTCCCCTCTCCAGACTGGGAGCTCGTTCAAGTCAAGACTGTGTCCTTTTCATCTTTATCATGTGTGGTTGTCACTAGGGCAGTTCACAGACAATCTGACTTTCTCCTTCCTGGTGCATGGCGGGATGGCACTTCCCAATTGTGAATTTCTTTGGCCAATTAATCAATGTGTATTTGCCATGTACTCTTTCCCCTTTGCCAGACCATGGCCTCTCCATCACTATGGGTCCCTGAGTGAGGACATGGAGTGAGACCAAGAAACAAACCTGTGTTATCATAGGCCACCAAGATTTTAGAATTGTGTGTTAGCACAGCTCAGCCTTGCCCATCCTGTCTGACAAATCTCTGATGCTTAGGACAGCACTTACAATATGGCAGTCACTTGAAAAAAATACCTTCAAACAGAATGATGAATGGAACTAGTAAATTAATGAATGATAATAACAAACGATCCCTACAAGACAAAAACAAATATATAGAATTTACATGCATTGGTAATTCATTTAAACTTAGTTTGTAAATTGTGACCACATTGGCAACCAAGAGCAATAATGTGATAATGAATCCACAATTCTATCTCCAGGCTGTTATATCATTATTTGTTGTATTAATAATACTAATAGCCAGCATGTATTGAGTTCCTGTTCTCAGGAACTGTTAGAGCTGTTAGAGATTGTGATATGAGCTTTAGGTGTATTATTTTAGCTAATAACTGCAACAATTTTACAAATTGCAAAACTGAGAACTAGAAAAGTTAACTAACTTTCCCAAGCCCACACAATTCTGCTAGGAATGGGCAGAGCCAGGATCTAAACCAGGTCTACCACTTTCCAAAGGCTGTGCTCAGAACTAGAGCCCAGGAGATTCTTTTTTTCTAAAGCCCAGGAAAGCTCTTCTTTAGGCCTACAAACAAGAAAAACAAGTGAAATCAGCAATGAGAAAACATCACCCATCCCTCTGGTTGGCAAAAATTAAAAAGAGTGATATCATCCAGTGCTGGCAAGATTGTCAGAAACAGACGTTCTCACACTGGATAGGAGTGAGAAATGCAGTCATGGTTTTGGAGAGTAAACTGGAAATATCTATTAAAACACACACGTCTTTTTGCCCAGGAATCGCACTTTGGTAAATCTTATGCTATAAAAGCTAAGGACATCAATATGTACAGATGTACACACAAGAATATTTTTAGTGTCAAAGACTCAGAGGGGAAACTAAGTGTTTATTCACAAGGAAAAGATTGCATAAAGTTCAATAAGTGCATACAATGGGATATTACGCAACTCTTGAACACAGTGAATGAGATCCACATCCACGTTGCCCGGAAAGATGTCCGTGATGCAGACCGAGTAAGCAAAAGCAAGTTTCATGAAAGTTGTATCGTATTCTTCATTTTTGTAAAAACAAACCAAAAGAGATCAACAGTAAAAGCAACAAATGTGTATATACGTCTACATGGGACGTGGAAGGATATTCACCAGCTGTTGATTGGTTAGTTACCTCGAGGGGGTGAGAAAGAAGAGAACAGGGAAATATTTTTTGCTTTTCATTTATGCAGACTTAGAGTGTGTCATTGTTTCTGAGATCTAAAAAGTTAATCTAGACTTTTTTAAAAAGACATGGATGACAATTTTTAGAACTCAAAAATATGTGAAACATGGTAAATCTGCATAAAGAAAAAAGTGAAAAACATATTGGTTGTTGCTTTTTATTTCTCTCCTGAAACAAGTGACGTTGAGTGACTGGCCCAAATTCTCTCTTCTCATCTTCACTCAGAGTCCTCAGTATCAGACCAACTCTCTGATCATGAGATTCACTGCCCAGTCAGTACAAATGGACCCAGTGCCCACTGTGCGCCACTTGCCTCAATTCCTTAAAACTGGATCCTACTCTCCTTTACTTTGGATCTCCCAGAAGAGGCCCTCAGGTCATTGACTGACATCCCCTGTCCCAAAGACAGTGCAACTCTGGCTCTCCAGTAGACCAACCCAAGCTTAGTAAACATACTGTGGCCTCCTGATGAAACTACTTTTTAAAGACGAAGCTTTAAGGATCATTCTAACCTTTCAGCGGCTGGAAGTAAGGCAGCTAACAAATTCATAAGTATTCTCTTAAAATGCCAATGTTCCTGGGTTATGAGAAAATCAAGCATCCATCCATTAATATAAATTAGGAGTAATGTGATAAACTGAACAAGGAGTAGATTTTGTTTGGAGGGGGCGCTGACAGTAATAACTTTAGAGCATAGGGTCCTTTCTGGAGTGGGGCAGGGTTAGGGATAGGGTTAAGGCACATGAAGAAATTGTGTGCCAAGTAGACTAAGGAAAGGACAAGAGGGAAGAGGATGTTGAACAATCTTTGCCTATTTAAAAAAAAAAATTGGCCTGATTGGTTCTGTATTCCAGAAAAGGAAAGTAACTTCTTTTCTTTTCCTCTGCCTTGCACCAAAGAACTAATCCAGAACTCAGGGTGCTAGTGCGAGGCACCACTATGAGTTAAATAAGCCCTTGTGAAAATATTTCTTGACTCACGAGCTTTAGGAATACCACGTATGTGTGTGAATTTTAAATGAATAAATAAGTGAATGAATGACTATCTTAAGAACGTAGTCACTATATTTTCGTTAGTAATCTATTGGAAAATGTAGGTCAATTTGTTCAATAGAAGACCCCCGGTACCGAATGAAGTTAACGAGTTGTGAGCTAGAGAAAAATTTAGGAAGAAATACCAAGACATAGCACCCTCTGTGTTAGTTTCCTAAGGCTGCTCCAACAAATTACTACAAACTTGGTGGCTTAAAATGACAAAAATTTATTCCCTCAATCTTGAGGGCCAGAAGTCTGAAATCAAGGTGTCAGGGGGCTACACACCCCCTGAAGGCTCTAAGCAAGACGCCTCCCTTGTCTCTTCCATTGCTCGTGGCTCCCAGCAATCCTCCATGTTCTTTGGCTCGCAGCTGCATGGCTCCAATCTCTGCCTCTGTCTTCACACGGCTGTCTTCTCTGTGTGCCTCCTCTGTCCAGATCTCCCTCTTCTTTCTTCTACAAAGACACCAATTACTGGATTTAGGGCCCATCCTAAATCCAGGATGATTTCATCTCCAGATCCTTAACTAATTTCTTCTGCCAAGACCCTATTTTCAAATAAGGTCACATCCCGAGGTTCCAAATGGACGTGAATTCTGGGGAGACACTCCTTAACGCACTATACCCTCCAAACGTGAAGCCAATAAATGTGAATAGGAAAACGAAAGGTGTCATGTACAGGTGTACCCCATTAATACAGTGGAGAATGAGATGCTTCCCACGTCTCATATAGGGAGAAGAAGAGCTTCTAAACCTCAGCAAGGAAACCACAACATAAGCTGCATAGTGTCAACTATTTTTATCATTTAGACTTGAATAAACAGAAAGATAGAGATATTCAAGGAGACCACAGAAGGGAAATTCTGCAAATCTCATGGTATTTTTGGTACCGTCTAAGAAAGAGAATGTTCTGAGTACAATTACCATTACCAGTTACTAGACCAGAATGTCTCATATTGATTTCCACGAAAAACTAATTCTATGGAATAGTAATAGAATTAACATAGTACACACACACACACACAGAGTTTTGTGCTCATCACTCACATAATTGCATTTGTGCGAGCAAAGCTAAGGACTGTCCTTGCCCCATGGTGACACACCATGGGGCAGTGGTTTGGGAGGACTGCCCTAAGCAGCCAGCTGCACTGTGTCTCTCTAACCCCAGGCTCTTTCTGCAGCCCTCAGCTCCTGCAAAATGTGTACACATGCCACATGTTTACAAACTCTTATCAAGAGACTGAAAGTTTCCAACTGTTTAGTCTCTCCATCAGTGACCGGAAGGAAGTAGCTGTGCTCCTAAGTAAGAGAATATTATTCATCCTCACATAGAATTAAACTGCAGAGTATACTTCAAGTCACACAATGAACTTCTTAAATATCTTAAAAATCCTAAAAATGGCATTCGCAAATGTGGGTGCACTCTGAAGCATTCTGAACTTCACCTCTCTGAGGAGTCACTAAGGGTCAAAGAGATTTCTATATGGAGCTCATTGAAAAGTTGGAACTCTGGGCTTCCTGCACACACAGATATGTGCACTCACACACGCACGCACACACGCCATACACTCCTGGCCAGGTTCCACACTCGCCTCTTCACCGCCAGGCACATCTGTTTATAAACAGTAAGAACAAATGGTGCATCAGAGCAGAAACCAATGAAGCCAGGCTGCAAGAACAGAGCAACAGGAATGGGGCAGGAGTGAAACATGGTCAAAACCCCCCTACTACTTAGCAAAAATCTGTTACATTTGGGTGTACCTCTATATTTCCAAAGAGTATTCTCACCTATCATCACAATTTAAATCCATTCTCATCACTGACCCTAAACCAGGCCCCAGCAGGGCGAAGCCGGCTCCCTCAGGCAGAGTAACAGCAGGGACAAACTTAGCATTAGTGGTTAGATTGGTCAAGTAAGCTGATGCCTGGGTGGGAGGTGTTTCAGAAAAAAGGTTGTCAGGTCCAGGGGCAGGAGGGAGATTGACATACTAGGCACTAAATAAATGTTTGTTGGATGGATGGATGGATGAACAAAGGGATGAAGGGATTTGTGAAGACAATCCTTGGAAGACAGAGAAGGTTGTTTAAACTTTCAGTGACATAACAAAGTAGTTAATGAGCTCTGTGTTGGACCATGACTTATACAGGTTTACTCTTTATAAAATTAGAACAGGGTTAAGCTGTTAATTACTAAAATCATCAGCTAATTGGAACAATATGTCTTCAGTTCCAACAAGTCACTATGTGTGTTTGGACTCAGGACCCAGATCTATGTGTAAGTATATTACTGTTCCTCAGAAGGTGATTAAGATCCCAGATGCCCCCAAATTGCAGAAAGCTACCTCTAACTTGATGCCCTCTAAGAATACTTCGATAGCTGGTCCCCTGGCTATTAACTAAGCTAAGAATACTTCTCACCTCACACGCGTGTAAATTAAAAAGTACACTGAGCGCTACGCTTTCTGCACGTCCAGTAAACGGGAGAACGGATTGCAAGGTCCCAAAGCCAAGGCCGGGCATCTGGGCTGTGGGTCCTGACTCTGGGCCCGTGATTTGGGGCAAACAGCTTTAGTCTATCTGGATCTTAGTCTTCTCACTAGGAGAACACAGTGTGGTAGATTAGAATAACTTCTTAAATTATATTAAGAAACATTTCTATACAGTGAAAACCAAAAGTAATATAATAATTATCATGTACCTAGGAAACCAAGCTTCACAAATGTATTGGTAGCCCTGTGAAGTGGGCTCATCAAAAAAGGCCCAGATCTATAATAGGAGGCCCAGGGGTGGAGCTAGCTCTGAGGAGCAAGGACACACAGGCCAAGGGCTGGCAATTACAGATACAGAATTTTAGACAGAGAGCTGCCATTTGCAAACAGGTTTTTGAAACGGCACAGACACCTCACCAAGAGGTGACTAAAAGGATGTTCAAATGGGACTCTGGACTTCAGCTGAGAACAAAGACTATTATTTGCCCACTCATTCTAAACAGAGGTATAGGGTCATTGAGACACGACTTACGGAGTGTCCCAAAACTTGTTCTGCTACTTTAATCCCATCAACCTCCATGCATAAAAGAAAGACCTGAGATTCTTTAAGATTGGTAGAGAGGATCCCTGTGGAAAGAGATGTCAGAGGGCTGAGCTTCCTCCTCTTCCTTCCTCTCGCCAAGGGTGCTAGGTGCCCCCACTCACTCCCAGAGTGGGCAAGTCCAGCTTCCACAATGAGCATGACATGAGCCCTAAGTCAAGAGGATATGCGGACTAGTAAAGCCAGAGCGTGTCCGTGCTGCCCTGAGGTCAAGGGAGGAAAAGGAACCTCCATGAGAGAGAGGGAGGTAGCAATAGGGAGGTATGTTTTCTACAGCAGAAGGGACCTTGTGGAAGATAACAAGACTTGCGGCATCTGGAAGCGACCGCCTCCGAGAGTTGTCTCTGCCCGGCCGGCGGACCCCAACAGAAAGACCGCGCAGGCGCACTACCAGCAGCACGAGGGAGGACGGCGCGGGCTAAGGTATGGAGGGAGGTTCCCTGATGGAGAAGAAGTCTCCAAACAGTCCCAGACGTGCCCCCACAGCATACGAGCATCTGCCACAACCAGAGGGCGCCAACCGGAACCGCAAACTGAGCTGGTCAGGTCCGGTTTTTCTGCCCTGAACTCTCCTTCCTGACCCCGCTTCCTGCTTCCTCTGTGCTGGTGTGTGTGTGGGTGTGTGTGGGTGTGTGGGGGTGTGGGGGGGTGTGTGCGCGCGCGCGCGCGTGTGCAGCAGTCTGCCGTCCCTGTGATGCAGGGACAGCACCGAGTACTGAAGAGTACCTCACAAGTTTCGGAGCCTGTAGGTCCAAACACCAGGTACAGTGGGGGACGCGTGAAGGAGAGATTAAAACTTCTGTTTAGATCAGACTGGGCTTTTTAGGAACTTTTAAGGGAGACTATAAACCAATACCTAAAAGTGACAGCAAAAGCTCTGGAATCTGCCCAAAATATCAGCCAGGGGTGGACAAGGGAGATTTCCACATGCACGTGTAAAAGAAGTGGTGTCAGAACATCAAATTATTTCGTGATATCTACCCCACCAAGCCCAGTTGTTACATAAATATTTTGCCATATTGTCCTCAGATCCATCCTTTTAATAAATGAAAATTTATACATACAGAGTCCCCCCTTTCCAATACCATTTACCTCCCTCCTTCCCTCCCAGGGAGCAACCTCGATCCTGAAGTTGGGGTGCGTCCTTCCTGCCCGTGTTTTTATATTCTTGTAACGTAATTGTGTATTTGAAACCAGAATATTGTATTTATTTGAAATTTTTGGCATGCCCTCTACGGTGCCTGGTAACTACAATTTCATAGTATAATTTGGCTTAAATAACAGAAGTGAAGGGACGTTTTAAATTCCCTCTCTATGCTTATGTCCCATTAATCACGAATGAAACGCTGCAGCTCATGACATGATAATACCGAGGAGCTCGGCCTGAGCAAGAGGCTGCTCATTAAATGAAGCACCGCAAAGGCGCGCGCGCCAGGAGAGAAATGAAATCACGGAGCAGATACAGAAGGCGGCCAGGAGGGGGCGATATCATCCAACAAAAAGTGTGCGCACGCCGGAGTGGCTGCTGTACAGAATTAATTTGGATAATTAGACATAGGCCTCTAACAGAACTTCTCAGTGGGAGAAGGTAAAATTAGAAAACACAAGGCTGATCCTGTGAATTATTTGCCCAATGTTGCAAAGCTACTTAAGTTACTTCTGCCTTCTACTCCAGCGCCCTGGGGGGGGGTCTGTTAGAAGCCCTGAGAATGTCAGCAAACCAAGAAATCAGAATGGTCTAAATCAGATCGTGGATGATATTTGCACTTTTTATTGAACTTCTTATGATCCCTTGCACCAGTTTCAAGCCCTCATGGTGTTCAACTGGACACTTTGTTCATCATCAAGATGTTATTAGGGCTTGAGGAAAGAACCAGAGATGAAGAATTTGCAAACTGATAAAATTATAAAATTATACTAAAACAGGAGTATTTTTAACCCAAAAAAGAACCTCTACGTTCTCATTCTTTACATTTGTTCTAAGCACAGATTGATAATGTGGATAGTGTGGAATTTTTAGAATGATATCTAAGGAACATTCTATTGACCTCCCAGTTTGGATAGAAGCTTGAGTCAGATGAGGAGGGTTTGAAGTCACGAGAAAGCCCAGCGTGGCAGGAGCTAACCTTATAAAGCTGGGCTCGCAAACAGGCCCAGAGCCTATTTTCATCAACAGTGTTATTGGCAGGCGGCCACACTGGTGGTTTACATATCTTCTGTGGGTGTTTCAGAGCACTGAGCAGTTGCCGCAGAGACACGTGACATCTTCCATTTGGCCTCTTAGTCTGCAAAGCCCAAAATATATACTACTTGGTCTTTTATGAGAAACATTTGCCAACCCCTCCCATAAAACAATGCTTTCCAGTAAAACTTTCTCTGATGATGGAAATGTCCTCTATCTGCACTGTCCAGTACAGCGGCCACTAGCCATGTGTGGCTGTTATCCACTCGGGAGAAATGTGACTAGTGATTCCCATACCGGACAGCAAGTGAAAAGCAGAATTTTTTATTTTAATTTCAGTTAATTGACATTGAAATAGCCACCCGTGGCCAGGAACTTTGAGGAGCTCGTAGTCTAATGGCGGGTTTATCAGTCTCCTGCCTGCCAGCAGTGGGGGGAGTGGGTTGTTTACAGAAACCCGGCTGTGGGACAGCTTTGCCGGAGGGCAGTGGCTCAGCGACCCAGCTTCCCAGGATTGAGGAACTGACAGGCTAGGCTTTGTTTGTGGCTTCAGCATCAGCTGTCTTATGCTGACCAACTTTACCACAACGCTTCCTTCAGAAAGACCACAACTCAAAAGCTCCTCTGAGGAAAAAACAGGAAAGCAGCACCTACTGTGAAAAGCTGTACTTCGTTTCTTTGTCTTATATTTAGCACTGATAGATTTGTATCAGTGTATCATTTAGGAAAACCTTGGCTGTAGGTAACAAAATATCCAACAGTGGCCTAAGCAATCAGAGTTTATGTTTTCACATAACAAGCAGTGTGGAAGCAGAAAGTTTCTGGCATTGGTTCAGGAGTTCAACAGTATCAGAACTGATGTCTCTACAATTCTCTTGAACTTTCTCTCTTGGTTGTAAAATGGCTGCTGACACATTTTAGGAAAAAGAAGTGGGAATAGGTGTTACACCCAATACAGCTGTCCGTTTTATCAGGAAAGTAAAGAATTTCCCGGAAGACACACTGAGTATGAACCCTTACCTGACTGTTGTCTAGGAATAACCAGCGCTGGGTCCTACACCTACCGGAGCTGCGAGGTAGGCTGGGAAAGCAGGAATACAGCATCATGCCCATTGGCTTAGCCTGTAATGATTGTCACCTAGGGCTGGGCACACTGGTCCCAAGAAGAAGGGAGTGAGTATCAGGTAGACAACTAAAGGTGCCTACCAACTGTAGTATGGCTTAGGCCCCAAGAGGGCCCTCTGATGACAGTTTTCTAAGACTTCGTGAATAAGTATGTTCATTGTATCCATTCCTTAGTTCAAGAATTATTTGTTGATTACCTGTTGGATGTCAGGCATCGAGCCAGATGGCAGGAAGGGATAGAAGATGAGGTTGGACGTGTTGGCCCAGAATGTGGAGGGTCTGTGTAAAAGCATAAAGGGAAAATTTTGTAAAATAATGTAAAGATTTATGCCAAATAAGCCACAGATTTACATGTTTACTTAGGACTCTCAGTACATCTAACCTCCAAGAAGTTCCTGAGTGACTGGGCTCACTGTGACATTTTACTGCATTTCCCTAGACACACTTCTGCTGGATGATTATTTTGATTATTTTTCAATCTCCTGGTAACAAATCTCAGTGACTCCATGTGTAAGAAATGTGCTAGGGCTGTTGTTATTTTTCTATGTAAATCCTCCATTCTGCTGGAGTGGCAGAAACTTTGTCTCAGTGAGCTTGCAGTTCTTTAGGGTTGTACCTAAGCCCAGGAAGGGGAGAGGCACCTTTGGAGGGAGGGGAACAGTCTGACCCTTGATGGCATCTGGACACACCAATGACGATTAAGATCAGATCCCATCAGGCACCTGCTTGTTGAAGACACATCCCTCATCTCAGCCTTGTGGTCCCTTCAGGGATGCTGCATGGCTTGTTCTGTGTCTCTATCTAGTGAAGTCATTCTGCAACTCCTCCCCCAACAAGGCAGTTCAGGTGACTTTGTGAGGCTGCTAAGACCCCTTCAGGTTCAGTGGTCAATGTGGTCATTTCTACTCTGAGCTCCTGCCCATGTTCTTGAATCCCACAGCTCAAACTGAGGGCTTCGTTGCCCCCTGGGACTCAGGACAGAGGGTGGACATGGGGCCACTTTCTATGACCCCATTTACGTCTGTGTTCTTGAAGCTTCCCTGTTTCTTCCTCTCCCTTGGAAACATTCAGCTGGTAATTTGTTGCTGTTGGTTTTTCTATATGTATTTATAGTAATATATTTTGTCCACAAGTATTTTCCATCCTAAATCATTCAAATTTCCCCAAACCAGAGCCATCCCCAAAAGAGGCAGAAGAAACTACAGGAGTATGTGAGGATTTATCCAAAAAGGGAGAAGAAAAGAAGTCTCCCGTGTCAACCAGTCCCTCTCCTCCAGGGAGACCTGCCTGTTGCCACAGCAAAGCTGTAGGATTGCCCCTCCCTCCATATTAGCTCCACCTGCATGTCTGAGATTGTGCTTCCCCTTGAAATCATCCCTCAACTTCATATGAAAATAATTTACGTGAATATTCACAGCTCATTGTGGATGAAGCACACTCTAAACAAAGGGACAAATGAATTAATGAATTAGGTCTTGAAGGATGAAAGGAGGCTGGAAGATTGAGGAGCTGGAGGAAAGCTGCCAGACAGACAGATGAAAGAGGATAGCCTCAGGTAGGTACGAGCTGGCACTAGGTGTATTTGAAGAATTGCAAGTATTTCACACACAGTCAATTCCTATTATTTGCAGTAGTTATGCTCTGTAAAGTCTCTGCAAACACTGAATTAGCAAATACAGAACCATTGCTCCTAAGGGACAATACAGGGATAGGCTCCTGCGAGCTTGTGGTCACATTTTCATCAACTGATCAATACTTAACCTTCTTTTATCTGTGTTTGTGTTTAAAGACACCTTATTCAATACATATTGTTAATTCGTGAACATTGAACTCACAGCCAACAGCACTATAACTCACGCCTGAACAAAGTTTACCTAACACATGTCTTTTCTCCATAAGGCACATCACAGCCTTCTTGCACTGAGTAACACCCTCTTCCTGCACTTAAGGGCCATTTTAAACAGTGAAATCACCAAGAAAAAGTACAAAAATACAGAAAACATGGCACCAAATAACCCATGAAAAGGACACATTTACAATATGAGTACTGAAACAAGAAGGTAGAGTGTCACCTGGTTTGACCTCAGCTGGGAACAAGCACATGGGGCAATTCAAACTTTTCTGTGCTCTGCACATGCGCATGTCCATTCTGACCACCAAAGCACAGCAAGTATTGATTTGGGGATTACCAATAAGTTTTATCATAGGCAAATTTGCAAATACAGTATCCATAAATAAGGAGGATCGACTGGAGCTGGAGCAAAGGGTAGATGCTAGCA